CTAATGGGACGTATTATATATCGTCTACGCTAGTGTATTTACATCTATATTATCGTATTAAATCGCATCCAAAAACTAGGTTAATTATTATAAATGTCAATGATCTAAAACAAACAATTTGATGATATAGTACATACATATATAAAAGGAGTCAATATGTATAAAATAATTGTTTCTTTATTTTTCCAATTATAGAGTAATGTTGATGCGTAGAAACAATAATTGAAAGAAGACATATATAATTGTTAAAAACACGATAATTGTGCAGGTGAAGAGATAGACAATGGGATAATGCAGCATGCAGACGACACGTGTGAATGGTGGCTGACGCGTGTGGGCGGTTTACATGCAACCATGTGCTCCCAATTACCACTTGAACCTCATCTATATAAATCTTCTTTTAGGTATATACATAAATTCGCTTAAAAGGATATTTAGCAGATTCATCTCGCATACCAACCAACTCATTTATTTATTCCAACATTACATATTATTCACACTTTCTGTTTTTATAGTCGCACCCTTTGATTCAAACTTTAAAGTCTGAATGTCTAATAAGGCTATATGTTTCCAATTAAATAACGGTCGGTGCAGCAACATTCAACAACGCACAAATATTATTTACTCCATTTACGTGCATGAAGCTGCTAACGGAATCAACTCCAAAACCCAATTACATTATTAATCAAGTCCAGTTTTGGTTTGTTGTGATTGTGTGTTTTCGGCGCTGCAAGGCCTCGTGTCGCACCATATTTTGTTTCAGCTACGTGCATAACTTTATTAATATTTTGTCTTATTCGACTTTCGTGGATGATCTAAACGAAACCGATCAATTTCTATACATGTAACATTTATGTTCGAAAATCTAAAACTTCCAACACCATATTAGAGATGTCATATCATCCAAACAAATATGTAACTCAGAAAAACCTCCAAATTTTGAGAAAAATAAATAAATTCAAATGTTTATGAATTTATTAAAAAAACAAAAAATCTAGGTTGTCGTTTTTCTAACCATTCATCATCGCTTAACTAAGATTGCCGACAAACATAAAAAATAGACCAAGAAAATATATTGAGAAAATTCGAACCTAAAGTTACGATATTTTATCGTCTCTCAAAGACTATTTTAAAACTACGTACTTTTTTGATTAGCCAAAACAAAAAAACTACGTACTTTTTTTTGTTTGAAAACTTGGCAATTATAGCAAAAAAAAAAAACATAACTTAATATCTAACCAAAATATATTATATTGCAAAATTATAACCATTAGATTTAGG